ACACACACACACACACACACAGGCACGCACTTACGCACACACATACATACACACGCTCGCACAAACACACACACATACACACAAAAACACGCACACACACACACACACACACACACACACACACACACACGACGCAGACTTGGATTTTCATTCATGGACTATTTTTACCTACTCTTTGCTTTCCCTTCCCGTGGATATCTATCGCTTGTCATCGGTTTTCTGTTATCCGATTACGAGTACATACCACGGTTTTCATGTTAAGTACAGTACACTTTTCGGGGGGACAAAACTTTTCTTTTCTTTAATTACATCTGCATCTCATCAGCATTTTCTAAAAATATTTCACCTGAAAAAAAAAATGGAATGGAAACTATAATAATATTCTACCTTCAGCAATCTGCAGCCTATCGCGGTTAGGAGCTTCTTTTTTTTGTAAGTTTTTTACGGCGCTCGCAGCTCCATAAGGTCATATGAGCGCGCGGGACACACCTAATATTTTCATTTTGGTAGGAAATGTTGAATTTTGCTCGGGTGGCAGCCGAAGCCTACTCTTAGCAATTTTTGACCACCAAGGGATCTTTAACATGCGTAACTTGCACATGGGCCCTCCGAGAATTTTCGCCCTTGTCCGAGAAGGCTAGGTGTAGATCTTTCCTACGAGAAGATCAGGGGTGAGGCTGAAAGACAGCAGTAAGAAGGAGCCACGGAGTAGCATTAGAAAGGCTACAGAAAGAGTCAGGAGCCCAGAGGAGGCGGAAAAGGAGGCGAGGGAGTGGGGGCAGAATTGATTAGACGAAAGCAGATGACAGAACATTGCTAGAGAGCAGGAAAGTAGGTGAAAGGAGACAATATTGGAGAAGAAAATTTTTCGGTCGCTACCCGGATTCGAACCCGGGACCTTTGAATAAGAGACTAACACCTTCACCTCTAGGCCACGAGAGCCCCCTTAGGAGCCTCGCTGTTGTCCTTAGGAGACCCGAGTTAGAATCCCGAGAGGGGAGATATTTGTATTGAGTATTTCAGTTTTTCTGCTGGGCTGTTATATCCTTCTGAGCCCGGGTTGGCAAGGTCGTAAGCCCGCTTCATAAATGATCTAAATTGTGTCAATGGGAGAGTAAAAACACCTAGATTAAAAATTAAACTATTTTCTCTCATATTTGATTATGTTTGCCCAGTGTGTGTCCATAGAAAACCATGATGTGTGTTAGTTGTGAACAAGGAAGTGAGTGAATGAGTGACAGGAGGAGGAAAAGAGCAACACACAGAGACACAAACACACACACAGACACACACACAGACACACACATACTTGTACGGACACGTGTACGCACACACGAACATACGGAGAAAGAAAGTGAGTAATATACGGTACACACACACACACACACAAACACACACACACACACACACCGAGAGAGAGAGAGAGAGAGAGAGAGAGAGAGAGAGAGAGAGAGAGAGAGAGAGAGAGAGAGAGAGAGAGAGAGAGAGGAGAGAGACAGAGACAGAGAAAGAGAGAGAGAGAGAGAGAGAGAGAGAGAGAGAGAGAGAGAGAGAGAGAGAGAGAGAGAGAGAGAGAGAGAGAGAGAGAGAGAGAGAGAGAGAGGGTGGGTGGAACGGTTTGTCGTATCGTATTGACATGCTGCTGTAACGTGTTTGGATAATATTTTGCGCTGCATGGTTTGTTAGCGGCTTCGTGTGATACGGCATGCCAACACAACATAAAAACTAGGTAAGTACCTATATAAAAACTTCCCAAGACGAACTCGTGTCATCTGTAGGCCACAGCGTCGAACCCAACCATATTATAGGATAGCCGTGGTTTCTGTCTTTTCCCGTGGTTTGTCTCATATTGAAATACGACAGATAAGATAATGTTGTATTGATCTCCACAGATAGATGTGAAATTTGCTGGGGCATGCTAAATCATACACGCTAAACAGAAAACTAAATAAAGAGACAACAGAGTAGAAAATTAAACAAATAGACAACAAAACAGAAAATTGAACAGTCAGACAACAAAACAGGAAGAAAACAAAACGGAACGACAACAATAACAGAGAGGCAACATAACAAAGCGAAACTGAAAGACAGCAAAATGAAAACAACAACAACAGCAACAACAACAAAACAAAGACAAAAAAAACTTGAAAGACAACAAAACAGATATAGTCTATATGGTACACAGTACAAGAAAACAAATAGAAAACAAATCTCGTGAAATCAGAGATGAAATTTCAAAGCTGGCATTTTTATTTGACTTTTTCAAAATTAACAGCCTAATATAAGTCCAACAATGAAATGAAAAGCAAGAATCAGCTGATCAACGAATTATCACGGAGTTAAACAATTCAAAAAGAGCAGAGAGCAACAGCACGACCTATCAGTGAGCTAATAATTAATAGGCCTAATATATGAGAAGCAGAATGAAACAAAAGTATTAATTGCAAGTGTGAGTAATGTACATTATATACAGAAAATCATTAGTGATCTCAGATTCAACGTATTGTTCTTAGCAGATATAACTGAACATAATAAAACCCCAAACATATTTCAACCTAGATAGGTGACTAATTTCTGAGACCTACACATTGGCCTTGAATATATCCAGTTCGATAGGTATATTGTGCAAAATAAATGATAATTTGAATTGATAACTACTTAAATTGGGTTTCAGTCTGTTCATTTGTATCAGAGTCTTAATTCACCAAAAATGCAAGGTCAGGTCAAACTAACAAAGCCTTTACCAAAGTGATGCTCTGATTTAGTCAAGTTTTCTTTTGAGGGTGAGAAAAGCAGATGGATGACTCTCTTGTTTCCGTCTGGCATTATGATGTAGGCCAATGTAAGGTTCAAAATACATTTATTATTATTAAATATCAGTTTTCAACCTTTAAAAAAATGTGCATAGTACCAAACAAATCAGAAGCAGTAAACTTTGTATGAATTATGCTTTAAACCTGCTTTTACTTTTTTTTCTATTTAAAGAATACATTTGGAAACCCAAACAAAACCTACAAAGCTTTTGCCGGGCACAAAATTCTCTGTCATAACTTATGTGTTCTTAAAACTTCTCATCTCAACAGGTTGTAGGCTTACAGACCTGTTCTAATAATTCATCCTTCTACTGTTCCCAATGTTAGTTGTAATGTTCTCTTGTGCATTTACACTGGAATAAGGACAGTCAGTGAATAGAGCAGTAAAAAAGGCTAGGACAAGAGATCATTCCAATCATGTAAGCCGGTAACAAAAACATTTTTCATTTTCAGAAAGGCAACACACAAATTAAAGGACATATCTCTTTAATAAGTAGACCTACATTGTATGCAAGAAGAAGGTCAACATAAAAAAGAAAAAAACAGCGCAAAAGGAAAATCAGAATGCATCATCAAGCTGAATCAAAATGGCACCTTAACCAATGATAGATGCTGAATGAAGAAAACAAAGCTAGAGAAACCAAGAAAACAAGCTTGCATTTTTGTGACAACCAGTGAAAGGGTGAGTCCAAGGTGAACAAACAAAGTCTAGACAGTCACATAAAGAGTGCAGCACGTAGACCAAGGAGCACCATGACCATCAACATCTGACACAAAACACCAACACCTACAAAGCATGGAGTCTCAAAGCAACAGATACTTTGGCCAAACTTTCTATTTTGAACACAAAAGAAATACCTAGATCTAGCTTAGTACATTGAATTCTCTGTTACAGTCCCCCCCCCTCTCTCTCTCTCTCTCTCTTTCTCTCTCTCTCTCTAATATATAAACGTTTTTTTCAAAAGACAGTTATTGTTTCTCCTAAAAACTGAAATCTATGAATTCTCATATACTCTTCTTTTCTCCCTTTCAGTGTAAGCTACTCAATCATTGTTTTTATTCAGTTTCTAAAACTTTCAAATGTGTTTGTCAGGATTTTGTGTTGGCAAAGTTTATATGTCAGAGAGACCAGACAAGCATTTTGGGTAAAACTTGGTAAATGGACACAACTTCTGAAGGCTGGTTCCAGGCCTATGCATAAGACAAACACAGCAAGGCTTGCTACCTAGTACTGTACACACACTTAAAACATTGACTTAAAATGCTCACTTCAAGACCTAAAACCAACTTCTATACATAGGAATGGGTGAGGAAGAAATCATGTACGTTGGAAATACATATGATCAAACCTAAAATTGGGAAACATGCGGGAAGGGGGGGGGGGGGGGGGGGGGGAGGACAATCATATGTTAGATGAGAAAAAGTTTTGTATTAATTCACAGGGAAAAAGAAAGTCAGATGTCAAACCTTAACATCTCCTTATCTATTTCACTTCCCATGTCATCTTTAACTTCAATACATAATTTAAAAGTGTTATAGAGGTAAACGCCATTACACTTCCAAAACTGATAAAATTAGATGTTATCATGATTAGCTACTTCTACTGAATAAAGTCTATTTTAAACATTTGCTCTTGGTGATTTAAAATCAATAAAAAGATACCAGAGATATATATCTATATATCACTAAACATATTACTTGGTTCATATTTGAATTTCTGATATGCATAAATATGGAATGATGTAAAGTTAAAGCTTTCAAGTTCCAATGCTGAAAAGAAGAACGATATATTGAGCTAACACTAGCTTTTCCACATGTTAAGTTCTTAAAGTACTAAATTCTTACAATATCAGAGCAATAAAACTACTAATGAGGAAACTGGTTAGATTTTTTTCACTGAACAAAGAAATCATTCACTGTGTCTCACTTGAAAACATTTCTACAGATCTCAGACACTCCTACTTCCCACAAAATTCTTGGTAAATAAAATAGAGTGTAAAGAAAATAAATATACTTCATCCAAATTTGAAAGCTGTCTTGAGTAGCCTACAGCTCAGTAAAAATAGTAGGCCAACAGGCATGACAACAAATCTTCCAGCTCTCTGGAAAAAAATGACAGGTCAAAGTCAGAAAGTCTTTTACAGTGTTCTTTTGTACATAACTGTAATATATATATTTCTCAAATTTTGAAAAATTCTCTTGGAATGTATTTTCCCTTATTGTTTTTAATTAGAAGATATTAATATTTTAAAAAGTTATCTCAAAACATTAAATTCAAAGAGAAATGAATAAATTAAAATAATGGCAGATCATTACATAACAATAAAGAAAGTGGTAATTGATATAGCCAACATCTATTTCTATGTTTCTACTAATTACAGGCAGGGCTTACACAAATATGTCTTGTGTAAAGGCATTAAAAAAAGGATAAACGACCAACTTCAAACAAGCAGCAATCTCACACTGAACATTTGGAATATCAGTAGGCCTACACAATTTTACTAACTTTTGAAGAATAGCTGAAATATTTCATACATTTAACACATATTAGAAGAAAATGCATAGGGTCAGTGAGAATGGATAAGTCACAAACATTATCAAGAGCAAAAAATGTTCTTTTGCAAGCTTCAGTTTCTTTAAATTCTTAACATCTATTCCGAAACTTATTAAGTATCAATGTTATTTAAAGGGCCATAAACTTCTTTTTTCTGGCAATACTGACAGAAAAAATCTATGAAGCCTGAGAGAGCTTAAGTAAAAATACATTCTACATAATGTCTCAATAACTTTCAGACTATCTCTGACAGAAAATGCTCATAACAGAATAATTGCCTTTGTCAAGGGCAGAAAAAGAGCAAATTAGAAATGAAGCATTTGCATTCACTGGGAAATATGACACAATGTGACAAAGTTTTATAAAATAGGCCTACTGAAAACTAATAATCAGATGAACATAGGGAATAAGATTGGTTTCCTGATGACATTCAAGTTTGTTGTTGACTTTTATCAGAACCATGAAAACAGTCAGTTGTTCTTCAGTGTAAGTATGGCGCCAAAATTCCACAACTAATCCGGGTACAAGACAAAATGGAACACAGGATGCCAGATATTTTTATGTCAGTTAAGAACAAGATAATGCCTGTGCTTTATGAAAGAAAGTGAATTTCAAACACAGGTACAGGCAAACGAAATGGGCACTCTAAATTTCTATCATCAATCTCTCTTCTTGAGAGGTGAAGAAAATGCTTTGATTGGTTTATCAAAAATACATTTACAGAGACAGCGGTAACAAATAAGAGAGTAGGAAAAATTTTTGAAATGAAGCACGAAGACCCTGAATTGTTGAGGTTGACAGTAAAAAATTTATGGTAAATTTCTTCCGTTGTAGACATCATTTGAAGAAGCAGACCATTTATTTCATGTGCTAATAGTGCAGGCAGGGAAGGGAAATTTGAAAATGTCTTATGTTTCTTTCAGTCAGCCAAATCTGCTATTACTTGACAGCTGAAAGAAGCATATATTTCTGTGACAAATAGTGATAAAAGATGGTTGAATCTTCCAGTTATAATGTGTTCTTCATAATGTCTGCATGGATTATCATTTGAGATCTGTTATTCCTTTTTATGGTAAAATTTGCCAATATTCAAATTGGTCAGTGTTGTCATGTCTGTAGCTTTGATAACTTGACATATTTAAGTTATTCAAGAAAAGCCCACAGTCATCTTCAAAATACTATGCTTCTCTTTGCAGACTTTACCACTCCACTATCACTACTTACCTGCTACATGTCTTTTGATAGCAGTTTGGCACTGACCAAGATAAATGGCGTAAAAACTTTCCATGTCATATTGAGGTTCATACCATGCCCGACAATGACACAATGTTGACATCTACTTGCCCACTTTCTCTTTGTCCACATACATATATTCACATTTTCATATTCCAAACAAATAAATTGACTTTGTGAAGCTGTGTGTTGTGAATGTGCAACTAATGTGAACTGTGTTGAGTACAGGAAATACCTGAAATTAAGACAGCTCATACATATATCAGTGAAAATGAAATAAGAAACCCAATTAAAAAAAAAAAATGCTTCATAGTCACAGTTTCATAATATAGATAAACCCTCTTCCACATACACTGACATAGGCCTACTGTTTACATGAATGTTTTTAGTATGCAATAAACACACACTATTAAGTTGTTCATTGAGCTGTAAATACAAGCCTCAGACACATGGAAACAATAGACAGTCTCAGCAACACCTCCCTTCGTTCTTGTCTTATTACTCTGTTTATGATTTTATATTACAATTTCAAAATCCCTTTGTGTCAACACATGTGAACATAACTACATAAATGACATATGAAAATTTCATTACATCTTTGAGTATACATGTGTGGGTTGCTTAGGAGGGATGGGGGTGAAAGGAGGAAGGGGTTAGAGGGGGGGGGGAGGAGGGGCAGGAGAATTACTAATTTGGGCACACTCAGAACTCCAAAAATTCTCAGTTTTAATCTCAATTTAAAAAACATTTGTCTTCTTTCGCCAGGAAAATTTGTGAGGCATCGTGGTGAAATCAGACGCTTGTCAAAATAATGATTTGGCTCAACATCTTTTATACTGCTTTGAAAAGACATTTCAGTGTGAAAATTACTGAAAAACGTTGATTAAAGGCACACAAAAAATCTAAATTTTCAGTTTCCAAGGACTCTCAAGTTATGGAAGTGACCAAACTTTGGCAGTCATGTTCTTGCTAATTTTACTTCTGAAACCAGGCGACCCCCATCTCCTTGAATTGCAAATATCTAGACTTCTATTCAAGAGAGAGGGGCATATTTTCACCAAATGCAAGACAAATAAACAGCTTTATGATTTTCCAATAACGCCATATGCCTAAAAACTGACTAGCGCCTGATTCCACTGCATCCTGACACATTTGGTCGGCAGCTTTGAATCCCACTTTGGGAATAATTGCTATGCCTTGCTTGCGTACAGCATTTATTGAGACAAGCAAAGCAAAAAAATTGAATGACTAAAAAAAAGAGGACAAATAGGAAATAAAAAAGCCAATGTCATTTTAAGTAAGCTATGACTGTGGCTGGAAAAGAAGTTAATTTTTCAAGAATCAAAACTCAACAAAAACAATACTTGCATTTGCACTGAATATGAACCCAAAACATGAATGTTAAGAGTTCAAGAAAGACAGAGAATAGTCTGTAAAACTGTGCCGTATACTTATATATATATAGAATATGTATTTAATCTTGTTTGCACATCAACTATATGTTTGACATTTCATGAAGAGCTATGACATTCTTTATCATACAAAATCTTTAAAAAGAAAAACAACTTCAGTTGTAAAATCAAAGTTTACTGGGAAAAGCACTTTGCCAAAGTCAAACACAGTTAGGGATAGATAGGATCAAGGTTATTTTGTTTTTTTATCTTGTTAAATAGTGCAGAATAGTTAGTGGAAGCTATAACCACAGAGCAAGGAAGGGGTGATTGTCCTGAGAAATGGAGTGAAAGAGCAACAACAATAATCAACACAGTGACTCTCAACTTGGTGTATCTTTGCGACAATTAATTATACCTATTTCCAGCATATACCTTTCTTCCAGTCAGCAACAAACAAATAACACATACATACGTCTATTGGAATAGACACCAGAAAGCAAAGTGTTCAACAAACACCTGGCTTTTAACACTTCTCTGTTGGTGGTTAAAAAAAAAAAGGCATCACAGACAATCAAACCAGAACTTAACACAGATGTCAAAAGGATATGTAGCCTACGTAACACATACCACCATAACACAATGAAAAATAAACATTCTATACAGATACACAACAACAACAAAAACAAAACATTTCAGATTTGGTAAAATAAAGAATTAAACACACTTATGTTCTTTCAAATACTGCAACAAGCAATGTTTCTAAAGTGTTGAGTAAAATTAACATTGTTACAATGCTTGGAAGAGAATAGTACTAATAGTTTTCTGCTTAAATTACTTCCATTTCTCCACCAAAAGATGTTTCCATTAATTAAAAAAACAACAACTGGACTTTAAAAAAAATGATTCAACTAAACCCTCCTTTATGACTATGAGAAATTACTTTCTGCTAATAAAAAAATATAAATAACAGAGCAACACTGAGATACTTCACTCTATTAATTATAAGGTCTTTAATATAATTTTAAATGTTCAAAATACTGTTTAAAATTAAACTTGTGTGAAAAATATAAAAAACCGAGAAAAAGTCAAAATCTCAACAACAAAAATGCAGCAAAGGCAGCAGATACAAAATCAAAGACTTGAAAATTAAAATTAATATGTTGGGCAACTCTTTACTTGATCTAACTCACAATATTAAAAGTCATAAACCAGGACTCAAAGAAATCTCCACACGGATTGAAGTCTTCCTTTATTACATAATGTAAATATCTTATGCCTTCATTGCTACAATTTAGGTATTTTAAGAGATAGGCTGCTTCAATATCTGGACTGAGTCGGGATGTAGAGCCTTATGTTTCTTGATTATATAACAATCCAAAGTATAAAAACCTTTTTTTCCTCACACAGCATTGTTTTGAAGAAGTTATTCTCCATGATACCCCACTTCCAAGAAACCAAGAAAACACCAAACTCTTCCTTTTAAAAAAAACCCAAACTCAAACACAAATAAAAATAAAAATAAAAATGAATACAAATGGATTTCGATTGCTAAGTTTAGCAACAGGAGCTGTTATCATCCCTCACAATCTAGTTCATTCGAACATTTTTTTTTGTTCTTCACATTCTCAGCTAAAGATAGGAATGATATACAAAACTTTCAATATGAAGGACGATACGACAATTTGGGTTATCTCTAATAACTGAACTTCTGCTTTTTCCCTTTCGATAGATTATAACTGCAACCAATGATATTATACTACTCTCATTCATATTTTTTGCTTTAACAACATATAGGTTTTAATCACATAATCAGCTCATTCTATATTTTTAAATCTTTTAAATACTGCGTGTTTTGTTAGAGAACCCTTCTTTTATGGTTCCACCCCTTAAAGTGTTCATGCACTAGGCAGGTAGAAATGTCAAAATACTTATCATGTGTTTCTGTGGTAGTCAAAAGACAACAAAAAGAGATTCATTGTACATTTGTTACACCCCAATCAACATAATGTAGCTCACTTTCAATGCGTTATTCTTCACAATCCAGATAATGTTGGACATTATACCTGAGCAGAAAAACAAACAAAACATATTTTGCAAGAATTCTTATGTGCAGATTGAGTATGTAAGTAGTCAGAAAGTTCTGTAACGTGGGGAAATCTTTTGGCCAAGAGCTCCCCTACACTCCCACAACACTACAAGAAGACACACCATCATCTCCCAAATGAGATTCTCATCTGTCAGTGAGAATATTGACAGGCACAAAAATCTGACAAGTATTACGAGACAGAAGACATACAAAATGTCTTACATGACAATGAAAAAAAAGCAAGAAAAATGTAAAACAAATTACAGAGTGTTTATAAAACATTTACAACCGATATTTGATAGCAAACACTATCTATGGAGACAATTTGGACTTCCCAAATAAATATTGATATGTATTTTGAGATCAGTGATACTCAAGACTGCATTCTTTTAAACACAACACTCATGTGTGGTCACTCATGTGTGATATCTGGTGAACTGAATGTGACAATTTTTCTGGCAAGATACTTTAAGACACAGAGAGTGTTTCAACCTCCTGCGAGGTAGTACAAACAAATAAAAAAGTAAACGAATCTCTCACATCAAATCAGTTCTCCGAAATAACTTGACTTTCACTCATTAACACTAATGTAGAAAATACCCACCAAAGAATGTCTAAAACAAAGTTTTTGAGGGGACATTGGAATCTACATTCTTGTGCTTGTACAAGATGCTAAAAAGATCTCTTAGAAAGCAGCCCACTGAAAGAAACTACAACAAAAACACATGTGAAATTTCTTTGGCTTCATAACAGTGTCTCAGTTTGTATCCTGCTGTTCCTGCATGTCATGCAGTAATATAATTATTTTATTTTCAGTCAGAGATAATAAATGAAGCCTCCTTCACATAATCACCATTCATATCAAACCCAGTCATCACAAAGCTTATTTTGCTTACAATATCAGTGCGTTATTCATCTGTACGGAACAAAGAACTTCACACAAGTTTGTAATAGGAGTACTATCATGGAACACATTTAACGTTACTGTTTTACAAAATAAATGACTCTGATAGTCGGAGTGTGGCCTGTGTAAAGCTTTTCGACACGACAAATGAACTTGAATGTAACACTGCGGTGTAACAAAAATAGTCGCCTGACAAAACAATAAATACTAAAGATAGACTAGGCAGATAGCAAGACGCCAGGTCTCCTTACAATATGGCTCTCAGTTTCTCTGATCAACACACTGAACTGGATGTTCCTTTCTATTCTGGGGGCTCATACTTGCTGGGTGCTACCTCAAGCACACACTGCAGGAACGTGGTGATTGGCTCTGAAACAATAAAGAATTTTTGCAAGGTCAAGCTTATTGTAAAAGTAAGCTCTATAGGATGCCACTATCAACGCACACTGATAATTTTTTTTTTAAAAAGAAAAAAATACACATGAGCAGGTGTAAAAAAAATTGTGTCATGATACAGCAGAATCAGACACTCGTCAGTTTTTGGGCATTTGAATAAAAGTTGAGATATTTGCAATTGAAGGAGGTGGGGAGTGCCTGGTGACAGAGGTAAAATAGTGAGAAAATGGCAGCCAAAGTGTAGGCCTACTGATTTCCAAAGCTTGACTGTGAAAAGACACTGCAAATTTACATTTTTTGTGCCTTTAATAAATGTTTTTCCAGTAAAATCGACACAGAAATGTGCTTTTAAATTATAAAAATTACTCAAATGGAAAAAAGCCGGTTTCTTTCATTTCATTATTTTGACGAGCGCCTGATTTCACAAAGATGACACACACTTAAATGATATGAAAACCAGAGCAAATTACTGCTATAATGCTCAAAGTAAGTAATGGAGGAGAGAGAAGAGAGAGAAAAAGAAAACTAGGCTAACACACGCGCCACTCTGGCACACCTGCTTCCCATTGGAACAAGATAAAGGTCAAAGTTGAAACGTCTCAGGGGCCAAGGGAGATTGTGAGGTGCTATGGGGTAGGATAAAGAGATTAGAGTGTTACATCACACATCAGCCCTCTCCTTTTGTTTATACACTTCTCCTGATCTCCTTCAGAAAGGGGAGGACCAAATTACTACACAAGCCTGTATGTGATCCATATTTTCAAAACTACACATTTTTATCAAGTAGATAAGATATTTACAACGTTCGAGGATTAATAATAGTAAACTGAAATAAGAAATTTAAAAACATTTTGTTGGATGAGTTTATTTTCATCTAGCATAGTCTGAAGTACTCTGAAGTCACTATATTATGAACATGCTGCGCGTGGAATAGAATCATGTTCTAAAATGATGATGCAGTGAAATTGTGTTAAACATGGAAAACTTCTGTTATCACATCTAGATAATATGACGAAATGTCAGACATGGAATTTGTTCATATGACCTTTTGTAGTTATGAGTGCCATAAAACTCTTATACAGGGTGTCCACTACGGATGGGATCGACTGATAGGCCCGATCCAGCCGTAGTGGGCACCCCGTATTACTTTTTTTAAAAAAGACACGGAAAGAGCTCTGCTATCTATCACATGTTGTTATGATAGGGTATAAGAATGTTATAAACTGAAAGTGCGAATTGTTTTTCCTCTCTAGTTAGGCTATATCCAGAAGTCAATGATTTGACATTGTGTTATTGACATCATGATCCTCAGTTTCAATTTGCCAAATTCATTCTCTATTTTGACTTAAACATTTCTTCCGTCCCGGAGATGTCAATGCCCTTCCCTCCTACAAATGTTTCAGAATTTCTACCCTTATCTAGAGCATCGCTTGCTGATAGCCATGACACAAGAACCGACAATCTCAATGGTCCTGACATTAACCCCACGCTATCTCGCTACGAGAGGCCTACCAAGTGTCACAGAAGTATGGGAGGACTTTGTGGGTGCTGATCGAGAAACTAAAAGTTGATGTCAAAACTGATCTGTCTGACACTGAAGTAGCCTACCAATATGGGAAAAACGGGGCGAAAGATTTTTGTCTCTCACATCTGAGACGCAGCAAGACTTTTTTCTACTTTCAGAGCTGCAGTAAATTTCTAGCCATTTGGAGCCATACATATATATTATACCTATATCATTGCTGTTGTTATCACTCCACAGTTATGCATCTATTAATAGATTTATCAAAGGTAATGATAAGACACTGACTTGCTCAATCTGTGTAATATGAGCCTGAAATTCAATTAAAATTTTAAGCTATCAATTATTTATTTGAGAGAGTCCGACCATCACAATGAACTGCAGTAAACTTTTATTTTTTTAAATTGAAAATAACAAACCTAAAAAATAATGTGCTTGGAGACATTTATCTACTTAATGCTACAAAATAAAATCTACAATCAAACCAGGGCTAAATGTTTAATTGATCTATTTTTTCAATTTTTATAACTTTATAGCGAAATGATTTGCCATATCGACTGGCCGAAGGGCTAGAGCTCAAAAGGCTCCTGGATCGGAAAACTAAAGTAAAGTATATCTTTATAGCTATCTAAAGAACGATTAACCTAATCAGTGACGAGCAGAGAGATGCTGGAAAAGTTAAAAAGACATAATATATATCATTCATTACTACCACTAGTTTCAAGTAAAGATTATTAGACAATATCAAAATTAATGTTCATGGCTAAAAGTAGAGGTTTGAGTGAACATGATTAACTTTCCCAGAGTTAAACTTATTTCAAGGAGTTCACAGAATTAACTTATTATTTAAGAGAACTGAGACCATGTGGAATAATAATCATTATGACATATGCACACAAAATATTATAATGACAAGTCAATGACCCTGAGATTCCCACGCGGAAGGGAAACAACCTCTATGAATTCCTTCATTTCTGACCAAGGACAATACAGTCCCCTGGACTTGTAAAAGAAGTCTCTCAAAATCAATTATTATTGTCAAACCCAGAACTGAATTTATCACACTCTATCAGTCCCACGTTAAAAAGAGGAAAAACTTAGGAAAAAGAATCGAAAAGACTTTAGAAAGGGGCTAAGACGAAAAGAAGAAAACTAAACTGCATTGAGTTCAACATTTACTGAAGATAAACTTAAAGCGGAACCAGAGTTCACACAGGAGTCCACAGAGGTGGCAAAACCAGAGCCCTGACAGAAATGAAAAAATGAACCACCATCACTATCACCAGCAAGGTGAGTAACTCTCTTTATCCCTCTGATTTTGCTTTTCACCCCAAAAAACAACAACAAACAAACCAAAAACATTTTCAAATAAACAACAACCCCAAAAACCCTAACAAATTTTGGTGTGCTTTGTGTTTCTTGTGAACAGTGACAATACAAAAGATATACTTATTTTGAAATGAGGGAACAGATTCAGTACAATGACCCCACCCCCCCCCCCTCTCTCTCTCTCTCTCTCTCTCTCTGTCTGTCTCTCTCTCTCTCTCTCTCTCTCTCTCTCTCTCTCTCTCTCTCTCTCTCTCTCTCTCTCTCTCTCACACTCTATTTCATTCTCTATCTAAATATCTCTCTCTCGCTAAATCGGACAGTCGGTCAGTCTGTCTGTCTGTCTCTCTCCCTCTCTCGACTTACCTAAAAACCTTAGGTTGACATTAAAGCCAACAAAGGGTATATAAAAGATGAGTCCACTCAGAATGAAGAGAGAAGCATATAAAAATTCAATCCGGGGCTCTTGGATGATGGGAGCGACTACCAGGTACACTGAGATGATGAACACCACAATCGGAATGATTGTTGGCACCTGGAGAAATAATAATAATAACAATAATAATAATAGTACTAATACTAATACTAATAATAATTTTTTTTTTATAGTAGAGAGTTTTGCGGCGCTCGCAACTGCATAAGGTCATATGAGCGCCAAGGGGTGGTTGTCAACAGAGAAGTCTTTACAGGGAATCAGACTTAGACTGCTCACATCTCTAGCTTCAACAGCACAAGGTCTGCTTCGACTATCAAGACACCCCAAAATAGCAGGTCACAAGAGAGTGACAAACATACAAAAGAAGTAGAGGAAAAATGACAATAGTAAGGATCAGGAAAGAAAAAGCAGCAGTTCCCTGTTGTAGATCAAGCACAGTTATGAGCGTGACATGAGTCAGCCCATTTACAATTCTATTATGCTTGAACGAGAAATGTCCCCCCTTTGGGAATGGCCTACAGACACTACAGTCAGTGGCACTGTCCCGGGGGGTGAATAATTCTTTTAAAAATAATAATGATAGTAATAATAATAAAGATCACCTCTATAGCGTCCTCTCCTTGGTGGCTCTAGGCTCCACATATATCCTAGTAGTCTTTGAGAGGTCAGTCAACCACTACAGGTCTGCGCCATATTATTCTTATTGAACCCTTCAACAGTTTGAAGTACTGGGCCCCTTGTTTTAAAATTTCCAAAATTAAGAAAGAAGAGAAGGGAATTCAAGCAAGCTTCTTGATTGTGACACTATTGATCCTTACCCTGCAGGCATAGGAGTAGCTCCCCCCCCCCTCCACCAATTTCTACACCAACACTAGACTACATAGCCTACATTATGCACTGATGTCTTTCTCAAGAAAAAAACTTTGTTGCCTGCAATCTTCAATAAAACAGAGATCATCTCAGAAAATCACACTCTTTATTTGTATCATTATTTGTTTTGTTTTTCAAGACTTTTATACCTTTTTTGTCTTTATCTCAAGATAGGTCTTTTTTCATGGGAGTACAGAAAACACAATACCAAAGAGCTATGGCACACAAGGCTTGATGTGATGTGAGCACAGGTGTAAAGAGAAGTGAGCACAGGTGTAAAGTGATGTGGGAATAGGTATAAAGAGACGTGAGCACAAATGTAAAATGATGTGAGCACAGGTGTAAAGTGATGTGAGCACAGGTGTAAAATGATGTGAGCACAGGTGTAAAGTGATGTGAGCACAGGTGTAAAATGATGTGAGCACAGGTGTAAAGGGATGTGAGCACAGGTGTAAAATGATGTGAGCACAGGTGTAAAGTGATGTGAGCATAGGTGTAAAGAGAGGTAAACACAGGTATAAAGTGATGTGAGCACAGATGTAAAAAGAAAGGACAGGTGTTAAGTGATGTGACCACAGGTGTAAAGAGAAAGGACAGGTGTAAAGTGATGTGAGCACAGGTGTAAAGAGAAAGGACAGGTGTAAAGTGATGTAAGCACAGGTGTAAAGAGAGGTAAACACAGGTATAAAATGATGTGGGTAGGCTACAGATGTAAAGTAATGTGAGCACAGGTATAAAGAGAGGTGAGTACAAATGTAAAGTTACGTGAGCACAGGTGGAAAGAGAGATGAACACAGGTGTAAAGTAACTCACCCTGTAAGGTCGTGGAGCGTTAGGTCGTGAGTACCTCAGCACAATAACAGAGGCCATAGTACCCCCATAGAACAGCCATGCCGCAAAGCTGAAGAAGTCAATGAGGCTGAAAATGTCTCCAGGAATCATCATCAAAATGGCAATCAGAGTCTGGAAAAGATATAATTTTTATAGAAAAGAATGGCTTTGAAAAAACAACCCATATTGTATCCAAAACATTAAAAACTCGGAAATTTTTTAATATTATTCCATTCACAATGTATGTATGTTGTTGAACGAAACACTGAATCAAGGCAGTAGAAAACTGTTGCTGGAAGTATTTTTGGACAAAACATTTGAAGATATTTATATGGATTAATGATGTGAAAAATGATCTAAAGGTAAAATTGTGAAATTTTCAACATAAAAAAGAAGCCACCTTGAGACAAAGCCCTCAATATGGACATTGATGGTTTTCAATCCCTTTGCTACATACATGCACACATACTTTTTTTTCAGGCTTCTTTGTACTCTGTTTACACATCATAAGGCATTATTACACTTATAAAAGACTATAAATTTTATTTGTACATGTCAATGTAGTGAGATTTTCGCTGAAAAGCTACAAAACAAGCATATTTGCCGCTTTAATGGTTTTGAATTGCATAAATAGTTGAAAACTTTTTGCAAAAGAAAGAATAATAATCAAGACAAAAGAAGTAAATAAAAAGAAGGGAGGTGATCAAAGTAATATGGTGTGGATGTGTGTTAGAGTAGCAGCAAGGAAAGGGGAAGAAAAGGTAAGAAAGAGAGAAAAGGAGGAAATGAAATAAAGAGAGAAAACACTCTTCTGAAAACAATGAGGTAAATGACAGAGTGAGAGGGTGGCAAGGAAAGGGAAACACAAATGAGGAGCAGGAATATAACCAAGGAGAATAAATGAAAAGAAAAATCCTGAATGACTGGAAGACAAAGAAGAGAAAGAGAGAAGCAACTTCTGCAAAATGAGAAGAAGAGGCAGAAAGAAGCGTGGAAAGTCAAATACAAGAACAGCAATTAAGACAAATTTATGGAGGTTAATATAAAGAGAAGCTCAATGATATAAAAAAAGGAAGGAAAAAAGAGAGAGCGAGCTAAAAAGCAGTAGGTGAATATTTAGATCTATTCACAGACTGTTTGTCTCTAGGGGATAGGAAGCAATATTAGGAATTTTATTTTTATACAACTGAATGGACAGATAAAAAAAAGTAGAATTGTAGTAGTAAGAACTAAAAGACATGAACGAGGAAAGGAAGGAGAAGCTAGAGAAGTGAATGAACCCTAATATGCAAAGTAAAACAGTTATTTTAAGATACTTACTGTAAGAAGAAGGGAAGGAAGAGGTGTGGCCTTTCTGATGTGAATATAGGAGAAAACTTCTGGCAAATGTCCCTCCCGGGCTGCCGCGTACACCAATCTGAAAACGAAAACAAATATCGTATAGCTTGAATGCTGACCTACATGAATTGATCCTGTGGTGTATTAGTAGTGATTTTTGCTGTTAGATGAAGAAGACACGAGTTTGATTCATGAGTCTGTTTGAGTTAAGAGAAGCACATTGACAAAATAAAGGTCCTTTAGTGCTGGGAAAAAGCAAAACAGACGTACAAGACAAACAGAAACCACAGAGGGAAAGTAAAGAAGTAGGACCTACCAGTGGAGCCCTCCAACCACCCACTGACCATCTCCAAAATTACATCTAAATTCAGTACATAGGGACTAAAATATTTACAAGCATTTTAACAATCAAAGTGCTACCTTATTTAAAAAAATTGATTTCTAATTACAGCTGTTGCAGATGTTTTACACCCTCATTACCACAGTCAAGTTCATTTACATTTTATCAAAAATAATCAAATTTAAGTAATTAATTGTATGACCATTTCACTCACCTTCCTCCAGTGAAGCAAGATCCATTTGCAGCGCCAAATGTAGACAGAGCCACAAAGATTGGGATGAGGACGGCAGCACTACCAAGAACTGACTCTCCCCAAGTCTACAAAAGAGCAAGGACCCAAAAATAATGTTTCAGATAATGGTTATACAGTTCTACAAAGTAGATAGAATGAGGTGAGATGAGGTGAGGTGAGGTGGGGTGAATTTTATTGATTTTAAACTGGAAGAAATTGACATGGTACTTTAACAAGTTTTTTTGAACTCACAATATACATACGAATACGAGGCATCATTTCAACCCATCACACATACTCATTCTCACTCTCACTACTAACACAATACATGGCAACTCATCTAACACTTTGCCGTCTTATCTCGCCGATGGGCGATGTTTACCACCCAGTCTCTTCGGATATTCTCCAAAATATGATGGCAAAGTGTTAAGACAACAAGGTTGTATCAAAGTTTAAGATTGCTGGTGAATTCCATAACATGCAGGTCACTACAAAATTTGTTGAGCTCAGGAATTTATTAAGAATGAAAGGTGCCCATGACATTATTTAAAATGCCAGTGCACATACTGATAGATTATTGCTATAATTTTCCCGAAGTCACAATCATTTAAAATGTTTCAGTGGAGGAGGTAAAAATAAAATATTTACCACCAACTTAACAAGCAGCTTGGGTTGACCTGCCTATCAGTGGGGTCCCCTTAAACCAAACATGGTTAATTTGAAAACAGCAGTTAACAAAAATAAAATAGAATGCCAGATTTTAAATTTTTTTATTTTAGCAACTTTAAAAAACTGAACACTATGCGAAACTGAAAACATTTTGCTGTCCCCCAGATTTCAGTTTAAGCAGATTCCAATGTATTATGATTTAAAATGTGGTCAATGGTGTTTAACTCTCTAACACCGGAATAATTTTCAATTATTTTCCACGTTTTAATGAAATTTTTTTCCTGATCTCATAAAACATGTAACAGGGTATACATACAAAATGTTCATAAAATCGGCTAATACTGTGTCAAAGTGAAAGGGGAAATAGTTTATACATTTATCCCACACTTCCAAGTCAAAATAAATCTATTCAGATTTGCAAGAGATTGCATTAGCAAAAATACTTCATGTACCCTGCAATCTTGCCAGACGCTGGGACCGTCTACTCAGGGACAGGGTGAGTTTCACTGGGTGCTTCTCTTTCACTACTGCGTGCCATGTTTGATGACTCTTGTTACTTTCAATTCTGGACTGTGAGCTGTGTTTCACTGCTCTCCATTTCCTGCTTCAAAACCACACTTACTTTTGTAATAATCGAAACTGAAATCTCAGGCTGAAGAATGATTGTTTTTAGCAACATGTTGAGATAGGCCATTATTTCCCCTTTGTTTTCAAATAAAATACATTTGGCTAATATTGAAAATTGAACTCAAAATCTTTACTTTGTCCAAGGGTAGGCAGAGTCAGAAAGTAGGTCACAGATAAGGCCCGGTCCAGGTGAGCAAAACCCCTTGGTAGTGAAAGAGTTAATAAGTAATTTTCAACCAATCACTCACCGCAGCCACAGCGTTAGAAGCCAAGAGAGTCTCCTTGGACATGACGGCCAGGTAAGACAAGTTGGTCAACAAGTAGCAGACTGTTACCAGGGGGATTCCCAGCATGATGGCGCGGGGGAGGTTGCTGGGGAAAAGAGGGGGGGGGGGGGGGAGGGAGTGGGGAGACATGATTACAGTAACATCTGATACAAGGAACAGCTGGACTGTGTCTCTGTGTATTGAGATAGGTGAGTTGAGCCCTTAGTTTGTGCATGTTTGTGTTTGTGTGTATGTGTTTGTGAGTGTGTTTTTGAAATGTGTGAAAAAGAGAGAAATATTTACTTTGTTTGAATAAAGAAGAGCACAACAGGAATAACGAGACAGACATATAGACAAAGACAAGAGAGAGAAAATATATAAGCACAACCCACCAGTGGCATCTTTCAACAATCTGTGAGAGAAAGGAAAGATGATAACATCTGATGGTTGGAGAAATGATTGGATAGTTTTCCTGTGCATTGAAATAGCTGAATGTGTGTGTGTGTGTATCCATTTGTGAGTATGTCTGTGTTTGTATGAGT